TGGTCCGGGTCCTGCCACCAAGTTGGGCGTAAGGCAAAGTAGCTTAGCTGTTCCAGATCCACTGAGGTTGACTAGGTAGATGAAGGAGAGAGAGGAAGAGTTGTCTATTTGGTCGGCCCCTTGAAACCTGCCCACTTTTCATCCCTGCTTCTGGGCCCTTAGAGGCAGAGCCCCCTCCTCAGTTGGCTAACGTGGCTCCCTGCCATTACAGAAACGAGTCTGGGAGTGGAGCAATGGCTCCAGAATGAACTACCAAGACTGGGCCGAAGAAAAGACCAACAAGGCCTGGCGCGATGACGAGTGCGTTGAGTTGCAGTCCTGGTTATGTAAGCCGAGGTGGTTGGGGGGCGGCTGAGGGTGGGCTTCCCGTCATGAGCACAGTTTGGCCCATCTTGCCACGCTCCCCTTGGCAGCCGATAACTCTGGTTCCTCCCTCGGACTGTCCCACCCTCTGGGCAGCCGAGGGGACCCAAAACGTCCAGGGGACACACCATGAAGAATGAAAGCCGTCATTCCCGCAAACCTGGGACTGGGGAAATATTACGGGAGCATCATCTCCCAGTGAAAGAAACCAGCTCCACCTTAACCTTTCTGTTCTTTGTGTGTGTGTGTGTGTGTGTGTGTGTGTACACATACATACAGTATATACATACATAAATACACATATACATATACAATCTTTTACCTCATCACAGTCAGGTAGCAGATTGATTAAAAACCAATCGCAATCACAAGAACAGCGCAAAAAATCCAGGCGGAAACTGTCAAAAACGAAATAAACCAAAGATAACTATAAGAATAAAGGTGAACAACAAAAAATAACAGAGAAGGGGAAAAGATGGCCTCAGATATAAACTTGAGAACCAGCCCTGCGAAGGAATCCAGTTTTTAACCTTTTCCTGAATGCCAGCCTGACCTCTGGCAAGGCAGGGGGTCCCGGGGAAGAGCGGCCTCCTCCTGGCCTCAAGACCCTCAACCCTGCAAGTGGAGCACCCCCACTTTGAGCGCCACCCCGGCCTCGCTGAGGGGATGCGAAGCCTGTCCTCCTCCTGCCAGATCAGCAGACGAGGAGGAGGAGGAGGGTTTGACAGGCAGCCAGACGAAGGACATTGGTCATCTGTCCAGCCCTGCTCTGGGTTGGCACAAGCGTTTGGCAAGTTCTCGGCTGCCCTCCGGTGGCTGAGCAGAGCCTGCCAGG